ACCAGGCCGCGGCGGCGACGCAATAATAATTAGATCAGCGTTTAAACGATAATCGGCTGTCCTATAATTAGACATGTCAGCTATTTCGTGCGGCTTTATCGTACGGCCTTTATTGCCTCGATAAACTTGCGCATAGTATAATCGTTGTTAAGCGGCGCATAGAGGAGTCGCGCGCGCGAATTATGACGATGTAGAACGCGCGAGCCGTGACCCCGTCGGCCGCACATCACGCGTGACTTTACTTCACAAAGTCGGCACGAACGTCCGATCGAGAATCCCGATCGAGTCCGTAGATTCCCTCTCGCCCTCCCCCGAAAATTTATGACTTCGTTCGCATCCACTCTGTAAAGGTCAAACGGTAGATTATCACTGAAAACGGTGAATACCCACCGATTCACAGTTATAAGTATCCCCGAGTTGAACCTTTAAATCTATTAAGGATCGTATACAATAGACGAAGTAAGCCTGGCGTAAGAAGTAAGAGTGGGAGTAAAGAAATGAATCATTTCCGTTTCTTACTCCTACTTCAGCTCTGACGCTTAGTCTCGGCGAATTAGAGCGCAGTTCGACTAGTGCTATAAATATTTTTAATAATTATGCCTGTACTTTAGCTTTTACACTGATAAGTAAAGGTTACGGTTTTCTTACTTCCAATGTAGACGGTTCTTTGTGTAGTAGGACCTAAGACAGTAAAAGAGATCGAACTGCAGGTACAAAATTTACTTGTACTTTAAAACTGATAGTGTCGAAATTTCCACTCTTGCCGATTCAGCATTAAAGTGGGTTCTTTTAAGTAGGAGCTAAAGTAAATTTTTAGAATTAAAGATTCAAGGGAGGAGTAAAAACAATATCGCTGGTCTATGTAGGTGTATGGATCAGCTAAGTAGGTGTAAATTATCCTTAAAAGTGTCAAAATAGTACCAAAATTTCGACTCGGGATACCACTGCGATTTTCAGTGGTATACTTGTAATTGTAGATCAGTGACTGTTCGCTGTTTTCAGTGGTAATTTACTGATTGATTTTTAGAGAGAAGGCGGAAGCACTTCGTAGGAAGTTGAAATTTCGTCTATCTCTTTCAAGAGAGATTGGCAATTTATGGGAAACATTTAGGGGCTAAAATCAAATATGTTCCGTGTAATAAATTAGGCCGAAAGGGAAAAGGGACGACTGCCGATACTCGTCCCGACCGAGTGCCGGAGTCTAAATGCGAACGGCGGCGGCCCAAAGTCGCGGCTTCCACGGCGGAATCCACGAAGGAGCCTGTCGTCGTTGAACGACACGTCAGCTCCTCTCTCGCTCTGAGAAGCACGCGCAGCCTTCCCGGATTAGCGACCATAACTCTTGTACGCGCGGGCGCTCTAAACACCCCGATTCACGCGACGTGAACCTTAAACGCCTCGTTGCCACCGCGCATCCTCCCTCTTGTTTCAGCATCCGTTCTGGACCGCCCGGCGAGAGAGAAAGAAAGAAAGATATCCTTCCACCGCGACTATCTTCTCGGCCGCCTCGTAATCGCTGCCCTCGTTAGGCGAGCATCTTTTTAAATAACATATTTTTGTGTATCGAATCGTCGAGTAACATAATCGAACGAATTGGGTTGACAGAAACGTAAACTATAAAAGTTTGAGTGAGTGAGAGAGAGAGAGAAATAATCCTTCACATTGTAGCACGCGTGTATTGTGTTCCGTTCATTATAGAAACGACAACTTTGTATGCAGAAATTACAAAGTAAACTCAATACAAGTATTAGAAAATAGGCAACAAAGGATATGAATGTGATGTTATTCGCATCGTAAAGAAAGATCGTACAAGTTTCATTATATCATCGTCGGCCGGTCCCGTTGAATTTTCAACGCTATTCCGTTACACGAAATTATTAAATTCCGTGTGTTTTACTATGTAATAGTAAATTTATAATGCCAACTTTGACGGTCGGAAGCCATTGAAATTTATACAGCTTTAGTATCTAGTGTACCAAATTTGATACGAGACGTTAAATACAATACCACCAAGTATTATATTTAATATTATACCGCAGTAACAAACGTCACGGCTAACGTCAATACCGGGCATCAATTATTAATTTATAGCACGAGGAAACTAGGAAAGTTCCTTCACGCGTCGCCTCGCCCTTCGAATAAATATTTGTTGCGCGCATTTGATAGGCTTATCTCGGCGGGGCCTCGAAACTATATTAGCGTTTATCTTTCTCGGCGCATATCTGCGTAACACAGAGGACATCGATACCCGTCTAAGGTTTCACCCCTGTAAAAGGCCGACGGGATTAATCGGGCGAGTAAGGGAGCCATGTCGGCGAGACCGTATATCTCGGTCCTATCTATTTATCCGGACATTCAGCGATTAGCGAATAATGAAGTCCGGTAACACGAACCGAACGACGAAGGAGTTGCGCTTATCATTCTCTCCCTCTCCCTCATTCTTTCTCTCTATTATCCTCTCCGTAAATGTTCCTTGCCAACCGACCGACCGACTCGACGATCGCGCGTAGAAAGACGAGCCCCGGGCAATCGTATACCGGCGATACAGTCAACGACCATCGTCATGCGACAGAGAAACCGTCGACGAGAAGCCCGTCTCGATATCCCGCTTTAAGAACGAGGAATGAGAGGAATGCCACGTATCCGGCGGCGATGACAAATCCTCTCGATCCCGAAGGACCTCGCTAATCGCGATCGCACTGTCCACGGAGTTGCTCGGAGCGTAAAGGCCTTAGCAGAACGGTACTGTCTTGTACTTTTCAGATAACGTTTTACGCTCTAATTCTTTATTTCACTTTCTAAAAGCCAATCAGTGGATTATCGCTGAAAACAGTCAACAGTCACTGATTTACAGTTAGAGAATCCTCTACTACAAGACAGGCTCCTAATATGCGACAGCGGGGTTTCTGTTAAATTGATAGGCGTCATCTGTTGATTCCACCATAAATTTATTGCCCTTGGGACGAAATCTGTTTAGTGGGAAATTCGTTGTTAGAATGCGTAATCGTTGCGAAAGAAAATTTGTGATTGAATTTGGGCGTTGAAAACCTGCTCTATCTCAAATTAGAAACCTACCTCATAATAGAGGACTTTCCTCTATAAGTATACCACTGCGGTTTTCAGTGGTATGCTTGTAACTGCAAATTAGCGACTATTCATTGTTTTCAGTGATAATCCACTGAATGACTTTTAGAGAGCAAGTGAGGGTAGAGCAGAATGACTGTCTTGCACTCATAAAACACAGGACAGTTTTGTGCGTCTGTTTAAGACAACGACTTGAAAAAGGAAACATTGCCGTTAGAGATAAGACATCAGCTATTCTGATCAGGCCGTAAGTCGTCACGTCGAAAGTACGCAAGGGAGGAAAGAGAGGAAAGACGGCAATTTATAGAGCTACTTCTATTAATATTCATTTCCGTAATTGCATCGTTGACTCGTTAAGACGATGAAGATGTTGTCTCGATGTTGTTAACGCAGCGCCGAGCCGGGCAGGTCGTCGATGATGCCGCCGGGCTGAACGTTAAATCATCGCGCGTTTCGTCACCGCGAGATAAATCGCGGGGTATTTCTATGGCCCCCGCGGACTTAGGAGCGCGACGATTTCGTCGGTGGCGAAGAGAAGCCGTAATCGCGCGACAGGGGCGACAGAATGTGTGACTAAACGCCGCGCGGAAAGATCGAGGCTCTCTTCTCGCGCGCCGCAGGCCGCCCACGGTATATCACTCTTTCTCTTCTCCTTCCCTCTCGCGGGAAAGTCGTCTCCTCGCGGAGAGGAGGCCCTCCCTCGCGACGACGAACACTCTCGACTCTACGGTTTTGTATTATTAGAACGCGGTCTTTAAGCAACAACCGCGCTCGCCGCTTCTTTTCGCCGCGGCTGCCGGGGCCTCGATTCGGGAATTCGTCCGGAAAAAGATCGCTACTTTCTTCGTCTCCCTCGTGCGGTCAATTTCAAGATAATTGGAGCTCAATTCGGGAACGCGAAAACCGATAAGAGTGAACATCTTCAAAGTGATCCGCTCGATCGTATCCTTCGTAACGCGTATAATCGATAACTGAACAATCCTCGATTGATTAAACCCAGTCAACTCTATATTGTTCTGGATGGAAGAAAATCGACAGATGTCAGTTTTTACCAATGCGGATTAACTTTGGTCTCGGCTCACCTTACTTTTTATCCTTTTCTTATATCCAGCGAGAAATGACTCGTCGATCGACGCCGAAACGATATCGAATTGATCGACGAATAATTTTTTACTGGGTACCCGAGTCGAAATTTTGGTACTATTACACTTTTAAGGATAATTTACAGCTACTTAGCTGATCTATACACCTACATAGACCAGCGATATATTTTTACTCCTCCCTTGAATCTTTAATTCTAAAAATTTACTTCAGCTCCCACTTAAAAGGATCTACTTTAATGCTAAATTGGCTAAAGTAGAAATTTTCAACACTATCAGTTTCAAAGTAGTAAATTTTGTATTTGCAGTTCGTTCGACCTCTTTTACTGTCTCAGGTCCTACTATACAATAGAATTAAAGGTTCGACATAGGGCCAAAGTTTCGACTCGGGTAGTTTCAGGAATTGGAAAAAGATAAAGAGTAAGTTAAACCAGGATTAAAGTTAGTCTGCATCGGTGGAAATGGTCAAGAGCGAGACAGTTCCTTCTGCATCTTTTTCTAGTAATTCTGATTGGTTAACGATTCTCTATCTCACCGTGCACATATAAGTATATAATATAATAAAAGGATATCTCTCTAAAAGTCAATCAGTGGATTATCAGTGAAAACAGTGAGCGGTCACTGATTTGCAGTTACAAGTACACCACTGAACACCGCAGTGACTGTTTTCCTGTTTTCAGTGATAATTCGCCGATTGACTTTCAAAGAGTCGAGCTCATTGATGCAACCAGGCTGACGTTTTCCCTCGGCTCATCACGACGTTTAGAGATAGCGACGTTTGGAAACCGCGTAACGGAAATAACGAAGAGGACGTACCTTGATGAAGGGTCGGCAGGGGCGACGGCGGCGACAGCTGAAACGGCTCCTGTTTGATTTTCAGGGCATGAGAGTCCTGCATACTGCTGATCTTCAGGGAATGAGAGTCCTGCATGCTGCTGAGCTTCAGGGAATGGGAGTCCTGCATACCGCTGAGACCCGTGGCGCTCAGATTGCCATTCCCCTGCTGCAGCTCCTGGGAACAACATCAAATTAATGAATCCACCCGTCCGCGAGCGGTTACGTTTCGGTTTTGCTCAGGGGGGGGAAATTAAGATCATTTTCACTTCATACTGCGCAGTGAATAATTAATTATTGTATGGCTGTCATAAATATAAAATCGGTACACAGATTGTGCAAATACGGTGCATGAAATAAATATTTTAACGAGCGAGACGCGGCCTCGCGTCAACGAATGGGCCAATATACGTGTATTGGAAATGATCCTTATTCAATATTATTCAATTAATTAAAATACAGCTCGTGTTACATTTCAATATTGTGCGCGAGATTAAGATTATTTTGATCTCATATTACATAATGAATAATTAATTATGTAGACGCCATATTGGTCTAAAGTATCGTATTTGTATACACGTTATATACGCGCGAAAGGTGCGTGTACAAAATGTATAAAGTTATATTTCTACAAGGGGACCTGAAATTATACGAAACTGTTTCTACTAACGAGTAAATATTATAAATTGTAAGCCACAGACATGCGGCGGGATCCGAGGACCCGTTGAAATTACACCCCGATTAAAAATACCGAAATCAACTTAACGTCGCCAAGGACGATTCGGGATTACCGGATAAACTAGTTAATCTACGGGACGAACGCGAGATCCGAAAAGCCTCGGACAACGCGGGCGCTGTAAATCTTCGATAAAGGATGGCGCATCGACGAGGTAAACGTCATCCTAAAATACTCCCTAAAACATAGTCTCGCGTGTAGCAGAGTCCGAAACGACTGGAGGTAAACGAACCAGAGGGAAATCGCGGAGGGACGTACGGCGACAGTAAAGAAGCTCCTTCGAAGGAGAAGAAGAGAGAAAGAGAGAAGAGGCGCAGGGGTAGGGGGAGGGGGGCAAGGGAGCGAGCAGGCCAAAAGACTTTTGGCTTGGTGCTTGCGATGTTTGAAGTGCCGTCACCGGAAGCTTACAAACACCGACTCGGTGTTGTGACATCGTATTATACCGGGGCGAAACTTACGGTCTCGCTAGATCGTTAATTTGCGATTCCGGTTTTACGAGGCTCCTAGGCCGCTTCGCGAATCGCCAAGTCGCGAGACTCGGTGTTTCATCTTCGAACCGCGCGAGACGATAGTTGATATCGTTGATGTCTAGCGATCCCTTGTCCAATACACTCGATTCTTTCTTATTCCGTGCGATGTAAGAGGATTAATTTCATTAATTTATTATTAGTCCGATTTTCATCGCAAACGAGATGCCGCGTCAACAAGATTTTATCTTACACCCTTGATCTTATCCCTTCCATCCTGTGGCTAACATAGGCCAGAAATTTTGTTGCTTATCAATTTCTTTCTAAGTACAAAGTCTACAGGGTTGGGAAAGTTACTTTAGAAAAGTATCTAGTTACAGTTACAGCTTTTTCGCTAAAAATGTAACTAGTTACAGTTACCAATTCTGAAAAGTAACGCGTTACAGTTACAGTTACTCAAAAAGTAACGAATCGTTACTTTGCAGCCGCTTTCTTGCAATGAAAATAAATATATCAAATCTGCATTTTAACTGTAAAGCATCGATAAAGGCGTTTATGCGCAAATGCAAGGCCTAATGCGATCTGTGGAAATTTAAAATATATGTAAAGCAACTATTAATGTAACTATTAAATTAGTTACTAGTTATCGAAAAAAGCTGAGTTAAGTTACAGTTACAGACGGAGAGAAAGTAACGAAGTTAAGTTAGTTACCAAGAAAAGCAACTGTAACTGTAACTTCGTTACAAGTAACGAGTTACTTTCCAATCCTGAAAATCTGTAAGTGTAGAGGGAATTTCCTCTTAAAATTTATGTAATCGCAGGACAACATGGAGTTTTAAAGAATTCTATGAGAAGTTGTTGAAATCCGTACATTTTACTGGTAAAAGAAGCGCCATATTGTCTCATGATTACACGATTTTCAGGGTAGATAACAAAATTCTCTGCATGCACGCAAATACACTGCGTCACTACATAATTGCGAAAAAATAATTATACGAATGTACCCCCGCCGAGAACAAGAAGATTAAGATTATAATGCGCAAATAATTCCGAGGTTCTTATCGTTTCCGGTCAGAATTCGTAAAATCGCTATCCACTTGTGTTTGTTGCGTGCCCGTCTGGATACTCGAAAAAAAATCCGTGGTAAATTACGAGAGATCGACGTGGATCGACGACGAGACGGACATTGGTATTTTATTATCGGAGCCACGATAAAGAGCAACGCGCGCTTTTCGCACGATACTTTCACGTGATGCTAACGGAATACTCTGAGGAAATGTTGAAACCCATCATTCTCAATCGTTATTGGCACTTTCATTAAAAGAACAGCGTGAAATTAGTGAAAGAAAATGCTCTCGCGACCCTTCAACGTCCGAACAATTGCGCGGAAGATAAGTTTTTCTCTTTAAATATATAAAATTTACTGAGAACCTTCTCGGACACCGGCAAAAACGGCCTTTAAATTCTTAAAGTAAATAACAAAGCTAAAAAATTCCAGCGTTTAAAAATCAACTCGCCCCTTCGGCCAGTTTACACAAGAGATTCAGATCTTGTTTCATAGATTCGTGTAAGGAATCGGAAGATCGTCGATCGTAGCTCGGAACCTTTCGTTTTTAACTAGTACAGAGGAGCTTTAACATTCGTTCTCCCGCGTTTAATCATCTCGTTGAAATCCTTGAGAACTCCGGCGGTTGAGCGTCGAGCTAACGAGCAAACGGTAATCAGAGTCGGCATCGATTTTTAGCTCGTGTTCGCGAAGTCGATCGCCGCACACCAGCGGACTGATCGATGGAACGACACGCTCGATAACCCAGTTTTAATCCATTCAGCGATCACGTCGTGGACAAAGCTGCGCGCGCGCGCGATCACGGACATTGAAATCTGCAACGAGGAAACTTCGTTCGGTAAATCGGGTCTCGCCTGGTTTCTATACCCATCCGCGCGTCCCCGAAGATGGCGACGTTTCTCCAGGACGCGAGCAAAAGGATGTGGAATAAGCAAAGAGAATTTATCGGCGCGATCGACTGATACAACGAGCTCTAACGCTGCTCCGAAATGTTATGTGAAACTGTCGCGGAGTGAATGTCGTAGAAGACGCGATTCGCGGAGTCGTTGTGAAATTTTCGAGGTCACGACCCCCCCAGACTCTTTTTCTTTTTCGTTCCCCTGTTGGGAGATAAGACGAGTGCGTGACGACGTTAAGTCGATCGCGTCTCTCGCGCCGTTCCGCGAAATGGAGAAAAACTCGACGAAAAAGAAACGAGCGAGCGACGAGAAGGGCGACACGTGGATTGCCGAAATGTGGATAGGATAACCGTGCGTTAATCGCCACGAACGAAACTGCAGAGGCACTTCAGGTGTTCCATCCTATTGCAGACATTCCCGAGTATCTAAATATTCACTTAAAATTCCTCGTGCCGCTTGGCGAAGAGTTCGAGTCCCCCTCGATTTATTTAATAGATTACTAACGTTGGTTTTGACCTTTTAATCCTCGAAAATGACCACAATCCGGATGGTCGAAACGTTGGATGTAATCCTTTCTATTTTTCTCAATTAACTGTACGCGCCCCCGGGCTTCTTGTCGTCCGCGAATATATTTTCCACCCAAGCGTCGACACTTTCAGCATTAAAAATCAAGCGGTACCAATTTGATAATCAGCCTCGCGCGTTTATCTCCGACTTCAAAACCTTCTTTCGAGATCCGAACGGTGCTTTCCATTTACCGACGCAAGCTGACGCAAGTGTCCTTGTTGTTCACTGGACGTTGAAAAAAGACAGACTGACGCCTGCGTCGACTCGCGTCGCCAAATGGAGAAAGCGCACCATAGATCCGTCTGTGAGACACTTTGGGCTTCGCCGCGGCTCTCGTCCACTTACCCCGGAAACGGGGATGATGTGCGAGACCATCCTGGACCGGTCGACGTAATTCATAAAGGCGTCGGCCGTCGCCGCTGCATTTACCCGATGCTGCTGCAGCTGCACCCAATCGCCGGTCGGGATCTCCACAATTGCACCGCCGACGGCTCCAACGGATAAGGGTGGAACAATGGCCTACGGACTACCGTCGAACTCTTAATGTCCGCGATCTCGTTTCACTGACACTTCGGAGCCGTGCGATCGTTTCATGCTCCCGGGATCGTTCGTGGCGGGCGTAATCACTCGTTTCACATCGGCGACACAATTCGCACAATACCGCGAGTCGTTAGAGAGGAAGGCTATAATCGTCCTGGATACAACGCGGCGTGGAGGCGCATCGCAGGAGCGGCGTCGCGATCTCACGCTTTACATCTTCGGGACGTAGTCGCTCGTGGCAGCCGAAAGATTCCCTCGAGCCGCAATGCACAGTTCGGAAAATCTGCAACAGTATAAACCACAGGTTTTCTATGAATTTCTGCAACCCGCTCGCACACGATATATATATATATATATATATATATATATATATACACTTACCCGCAAAAAAATGGGCCACCACATTTTAGCCCAATTTTTTAACATTTTTCAATAGCGATAACTCGGCGAAAAATCATCGTAGACAAACGATTAAAAAAGTATTTTGAAGCTTGAAGTTTCAATTTTGAAATGCTGTCAACAATTCTTTAAAATTCGTTTATCTTCCTTGTTTTATGCTTTAAAAAAGAACACATTGTTTTTTTCTTAGAATTACGTATTTTTGACGCTCTGTGGCTGGATAAAAAAATTTGTCTCGAAAATATCATCTCAAATTTCATAAACTACAACTCTTTGCCTACGAAACGCTTTTTTAAAAATTGTCCTACGATGTTTTCTGACCGAGATATACGATTTTGAAGCTAAACCTGTACTTTTTAAAAATGTTGTCGATACTCAGTAAAACCTTATCGTAGAAAAATGATTAAAAAAGCGTTTTGTAGCCAAGAAGTTGTAGTTTATGGAATTTCAGATGATATTGTCGAGAGAAATTTTTTTACCCAACTACAGAGCATCAAAAATACGTAATTTTAAGGAAAAAACAATGTGTTCTTTTTTAAAGCATAGAACAAGGAAGATAAACGAATTTTAAAGAATTGTTGACAGCATTTCAAAGTTGAAACTTCAAGCTTCAAAATGCTCTTTTAATCATTTGTCTACAATGATTTTTCGCCGAGTTATCACTATTGAAAAATGTTAAAAAATTGGGCTAAAATGTGGTGGGAGCGCATTTCTTTTGCGGGAGGGTGTATATATATATTTTTTTTTCAGGAACCGATTAAATCTACTGCATTGAGAATGTGATATGTGTAGCATTTAGCTGGAAAAAAACAAATTTTGTATTCATAAAACAACAAGGTTCGAAAATCACAAATTTGATTTATTCGAATCAAATTTAAACTTACATGATAACAGGATAACAGTTTCGGCAAGTGGGACACTTTCGCGATTGTTTTTTTAGCAATATTGCGTTACATTTGTTAAGTATGATTTTATATATACATATATACAGGTATATAACAAGTTAATATATCACTTTTGCGAATGTATTTAACAAATATGTTTGCATTTAGTATATTCACATATTGTTTCAATGTAATGCATTAGGGAGTCTGTGAATAGCTCTTACGAGACTGTACGTAATCGCTGCAGATTATAGTAATCTTGCTTATGTCGTTATTTGTAATTGCCGAGGGGATCGCACGCAAAAGCTTCTTTATCCAAGTCACAGTAACGCGTACTACCGAAGTCGGGCCGCGCGTAATTTTCACCGCTCGCGCTAGCTCGCCGATTCGCAATCCGCGTACAATGCCGAAAGAAAGCTGATGCAATCGCTAAACGCTGCCCCGAATCGGGTCAGCTGACTCATCGAAAAAATCACGCACGTTCGCAGTGTCAAAATAACAATCCAACGTACACGCTCTCGCAATTGATAAGAGATTGACTCCGCGTATATCGCGGCATTCGAGAGGATCCAGTCGGAAAGATGTCAAAGCAAAAAGAGCACGTAGTCACGAACGCAATCGACATTGTTCCCGGTATCAATAGACATCGTGTCGAGGTCTCTTCTCATTGATACAACGTCGTCGAGACCGGCGGAGGAAAGCGTCGGGACGTTTCCCGACGTCGGCAGACGCGACGCGCAGAGGAGGGAGTTGAAAACGACGAGTGCGGTAGGGTAAGGGCCCGAGCAGAATGGCCGTCTTGCATTCTTAAGTCACGAGACACAGTTATTGTGTGTTACTTTAAGGTTTAAAACATTGTCCCAAGAGTACAAGGCAGCCCATTCTGCTCGGGCCCTAAAAGGTGACCAAATTCGGATCAGAAAACTCTGCCGAGTCGCTGTTAAGCGACGTTTCAAAGTAATTCGCTTAAATTTTGCTCCTTTGTATACAACTTTATGCTATATTGTCGATATCATAAAAGGCATCGACGCGTTTACGTCGCTTATCAGCGACTCGTCAGATTGTTGCATTTGGCAGCATCTGATCCGAATTTGGTCACCTTACCCCATGGAGATTCGGGTTCCAGCGTGTTCCGACCGAACTCCCGCCGTTCGGCCGTCGGCGAAGACGCGCTTATTTTCACGAGCCAGCGCGGAGGCGAGGGACGAGACGAGAGACGTCTCTACGCGCCGTCGGCTGGGACGGTTTCGGAGGGATGACGAGCGCGCAACAGCTGAGCACTTAGCGCCCTTAGCGACGACTGTGGGAGGAAAGGGACCTCGTGCTCTCCCCGGGGACTCATCGGGACTTCCGCCGGCGTCTGCGACACACGAGAGAGAGGAAAGACTCCGCCTCGTGTCCGCGGTGTTTACGATTTTTCGGGCTCGCTCCCCTTAATTTGGCCGAGCCAGAGCTGCCCGCTTCCCTCGAAAGAGTTGTCGGAGATTTTTTTTTTCAAGTCACGACAGATCGCGAGACGAGTTAATGAAGCGCTCTTATCAGTCATTCGCACATGTTAACCGGGCCAAAGATATTTATATATCTGTTGACGGGAAATCGCTTCCCCCCCCCCCCTCGTACCCCGCGCCGTCGATTAGATTATGTGTTTGGCGACATTTACATTCCTGTATCTCCGCTAATTCGTAATCCGCCGTAATTCTGTTTCGCAACGAAAGGTCTGTTGCGAGAGGTCGCGGGTGATAAGAGATGTGCAAACAGTTCTACTAATCAGCGGTCTTCAATGTTTACGTTCCACGGATCTTAATGTATATCTCTCTAATGTAGTTACGTTCCCCAAGTGTTTCCGAATCGCGCGAGAAAAATTTCCCGAGTCTTGCAAGTGGTGTCTTTGTTTAAAGAAAAAACAAAGTGCGTCGAATTAAATTCCACGCGAGAATGTGGAAAAGCACTCGAGTTTGTCAAGGTGCTTAATTCCCGATTCCGAGTTCTCGTAATAAATATCTGAATATATAGTTCCGATATGCAGAGAAATGTGCAGATTGCGGACGAACTCTTATTTCATCGCTCGTCCCATTCTTGTTGCCAGGTATAGGAGGAACAAGTCAAGGTTTGGATAGTAGAAGGCAGTTAAATATAGAGGAAAGCCCCGTATTATAAGATAGGATCCTATTATGGGATAGCGGAGTTTCTACTAAATTAATAGCCGTCATCTGTTGGTTCCACCATGAATTCATTGCCTTCGGAACGAAATCTGTTTAGTGGAAAATTCATTGGTGGATCGTGCGAGTCGTTGCGAAGAGATTTGCGATTGAATCTGGGTGTTGAAAGCCCTCTATCTCACGATAGAGGACTTTCATTTTTGTTTAAATAATTGTCATCGTAAATATACATTTGCTATAAAAGAAAAACAGAGATCTTTCGTCTCGCTTCGCCGAGCCTGCAGGTATCTTCGCTAGTATATTGTAATACTAATCCATTTCTACGTCGCTCAACTTTAATCTCGGTTCAACTTACTTTTCATCTCTTTCCAATTCTGAGAATTGGACAGGGACAAAAGGTAGGCTAGACCAAGATCAGAGTTCACGCTGGTAGAAAGGGACGTGCACTTGAAAGATACCTTCGGCGCTCGCTTTGTTAAATTGACGTGAAGCTGAAACCATCGTGTTTTTTAAACAAAGGAGAACATAAGGTGCATTCCGTTTCGCGCACGATGCGCATGATTTTTATCCTGTTATTCACAAGATGTTAAGGATAAATGACGCGTCATGCGTGAGGCGGAACGCACTTCTAATTCCCTCGTGTCTCGACCGGAGGATGCACGCGCACGTACGCACAGTGATGGACAGAATAGTTGCGACACTTATTAATTTTTTTTAAACGAGTTTAGGAACTCGAGAAATAAATCGGAAACGCTCGAAGTGGTTTCAGAATCGCCGTCGAGTACAATATCCCTCGGAGAAGAGGATTTCGAAGCGTAACCCTCGATCTAAACGCATGTTCCTAAACTCATTAAAAAAAACAAGAAGTGTCGCGACCGTTCCGTCCAACACTGTACGTACGTGTGCAGAAACGTGTCCCGACGTGAGACGACGACGACGCACTGGCATTAGTCGGATTCGCGCGAGTCGTCCGGATTGGGCGAGAGGGCAGGCGGCGCCGATCGGTCGCCGTCGAACCGAACTCTTTTTTCCACGTTTTAGAGCGATGAGAAAAACTCGGCTTATCTCCTCGTTGCGCGCGCGCGCAGTTGCAGCGAAAGAAGAAATATTTATCTCGCTGTTTAGTAAACAGCCGCCCGTCCGGGCCGCTACAAATCGGCCGCGGCCCGCGATCGCGGAACCGAAGTTTGTAAACTCGCGCGCGCCACCGCGAGTCCTCTCTCTCTCTCTCCCTCCCTCCCTCTGAGATAGCCGAAAAAAATGTTGCGCGCGCGAAACCGGCGGCACGCGCGATGATGACTTACTTCGTTTTCCACGCGAACGATAATGAGGAATTTCATTCACCACGCGAATACCTCGCGCACACACATACACGCTCTCTTTCTCTCTCTACAACATTCAAATTGTACAAAAGTTCTTTCTCACTTGTATTTTTTTTATGTGTAGCTTGTCTACCCCTTTAGGGGACTTGTCCCAGAGCGTTTGATAAATAAAGATTCTATTCTTTCTCTCTCTCTCTTGTTAGGGTAAGATGACCAAATGCTGATCAAGAATTCGATGAGTCGCTAATAAGCGATATTTTAAAGTAATTCACTTAAATTTTGCTCTTTTACATATTTACAACTTTATACCAGGGTTGGGAAAGTTACTTTATAAAAGTATCTAGTTGCAGTTACAGTTTCTTCGCTAAAAATGTATCTAGTTACAGTTACAAGTTACCAATTCTGAAAAGTAACGCGTTGCAGTTACAATTACTCAAAAAAGCAACGAATTGTTATTTTGCAGTTACTTTCTTGCAATGAAAAATAAAAATAGCAAGTCTGCATGTGAATTGTAAAGCGTCGATAAAGGCGTTTATGCGCAAATGCAAGGCCTGTTGCAATCTGTGGAGGTTTAAAATGTATACAAAGTAACTATTAATGTAACTATTAAATTAGTTACTAGTTATCGGAAAAATGTAACCGAGTTAAATTACAGTCACAGACGAAGAGAAAGTAACGAAGTTAAATTAGAATTACCAAAAAGAAAGCAACTGTAACTGCAACTTTGTTACAAGTAACGAGTTACTTCCCAACCCTGGTTACGTTAATAGTTACTTTGTATATTTCTTAAACCTCCACAGATCGCAATTAGGTCTTGCACTTGCAAATAAACGCTTTTATCGACACCTTACAATTCGAACGCAGATCTGATATTTTTATTTTCATTACGAGAAAGTAACTGCAAAGTAACGACTCGTTACTTTTTGAGTAACTGTAACTGTAACGCGTTACTTTTCAGAATTGGTAACTTGTAACTGCAACTAGATACTTTTATAAAGTATCGCGATGCTAGAACTT